GTGAGCTAAGACTGGGCCACTAAACTCCAGCCTGGGCGACAGAGCGAGAATCCGTCTCAAGAAACAAACAAACAAAATTCATATAAAAATCCAAGCATTTAAAAAATATACCTAGAAATTTTTTAAAAAATATACGTAGAAAAGATTATTGTAACATGTATAAAGCAATGGAAAAGCGAGTCGAAACCATTTTGAGAAAGAATTAAGTGACAGAGATCACACACGTTTTGGGCTTATTATATTGCTGTGATAAAATGGAGAGAGTATGGCACGGAACAAAGATAAGACACATAAATAAATGGAACAGCACAGAGAACCCAGAAACAGGTACCTAGAATTATGTCCGACTAGTTTTTGACAACGGAGCAAAAGTAATTTAATGGAGGAGGAATATCCATTTCACTGAAATTTCTGGAGCAAGGAGACACAGTGAGCAACGTCAAAAAATGAATCGCAACCTCAACCTGCTAGCTTTGATACAAATTAACTCAAAATAAATAAATCATGGACTTCCACGTAAATCACAAAACCATGGCGTGCTGTGGCTTCTATAATCTCAAAAAAAAAAATGATGAATTGCATTTAACGATGATATTTTCTACAGGAGGCCAAGGGACTATGACGATTCTCTTTTTTTCTTTTCTTTTGTTTTTGAGATGGAGTCTCGCTCTGTCGCCCAGGCTGGAGTGCAGTGGTGTGATCTCGGGTCACTGCAACCTCCACCTCCTGGATTCAAGCGATTCTCCTGCCTCAGCCTTCCGAGTATCTCGGACTACAGTCACCCACCACCACGCCTGGCTAAATTTTTTTTTTTTTGTATTTTTAGTAGAGACGGGGTTTTACCGTATTGGCCAGGCTGGTCTTGAACTCCTGACCTTGTGATCCATCCGCCTTGGCCTCCCAAAGTGTTGGGATTACAGGTGTGAGCCACCGCACCCGGCCAACAAGTCTTTTTTCCATGGTCAAAATCAAAATCTAAATTGCAAAATTCAAATAAAGCAATTTTACGGCTTATAAGGTGCTTACATAGGCCTGATGTTTTCCAGTGAGGGAGGAAAAGCCACACAAAAAAGAAATACTCTGAAGAAAGCGAAAAGACAAGACACAGAATGTGAGAAACTAATGGAAAGGGAATATATTTCCTAAAGGACTTGTGGCCAACATTTAGGAAGCGTAGTTACAAGTCATATGAAGATTGCATCTGACCCAATAAAAATTAGGAAATAGAATCGAAAGGACTTGTCACTAAATAAGATGCTTAAGTAACAAAATAAGCCTATGAAGAGGGTCTGTGTTACTTGGGGGTTCTGGAATGCAGAAAGCAAGACAGAGTTACAAACGCAAAGGCGGGACATGGTGGCTCACACCTGCAATCCCAGCACTTTGGGAGGCTGAGGCGGGTGGATCACCTGAGGTCAGGAGTTCGAGACCAGCCTGGCCAACATGGTGAAACCCTGTCTCTACTAGATATACAAAAATTAGCTGGGCGTCGTGGCATGTGCCAGTAATCCCAGCTACCTGGGAGTCTGAGGAAGGAGAATCACTTGAACCCAGGAAGCAGAGGCTGCAGTCAGCCAAGATTGCACTATTGTACTCCAGCCTGGATAACAAGAGCAAAAAAAGAAAGAAGGAAGGAAGGAAGGAAGGAAGGAAGGAAGGAAGGAAAGGAAGGAAAGGAAGGAAAGGAAGGAAAGGAAGGAAAGGAAGGAAAGGAAGGAAGGAAGGAAGGAAGGAAGGAAGGAAGGAAGGAAGAAGGAAGGAAGGAAGGAAGGAAGGAAGGAAGGAAGGAAGGAAGGAAGGAAGGAGAAAGAAAAGAAAAGAAAAGAAAAGAAAAGAAAAGAAAGATAGAAAGATAGAAAGATAGATTTCTGGCCAGGCGCAGTGGCTCACACCTTTAATCCCAGCACTTTGGGAGACCAAGACAAGTAGATCACCTGAGGCCAGGAGTTCTAGACCAGCCTGGCCAACATAGTGAAATCCCGTCTCTACTAAAATTACAAAAAAATTAGCTGGGCGTGGTGGTGCGTGCCTGTAATCTCAGCTACCTGGGAGGCTGAGGCAGGAGAATCGCTTGAACCCAGGAGAGAGAGGCTGCAATAAGCCAAGATCGCGCCACTGCACTCCAGCCTGGGAGACAAAGCGAGACTCCATCTCATATATAAATAAATAAATAAAAAGGAGGATGAGAAAAAGAGACACTAGGGATTTCAAGAGGAGTGTGGATGGAGAGTGGTGAGGTTTCAAAAAGTACTTATTGTGTGCTATGCTCACTACCTGGGTGATGGGATTATTAGGAGCCCACACCTCAGCATCACACACCTGCGCACGTACCCCTCCATCTAAAATTTAAAAATAGGTCAGGTGCGGTGGCCCACGTCTGTCATCCCAGCACTTTGGGAGGCTGAGGCAGGAGGATTACTTGAGCCCAGGAGCTCGAGACCAGGCTGAGCAAGATACGGGAGACTCCATTGCTGCGAAAATATGTATATTTTTAAATTAGGTGGGTGTGGTGGTACGCGCCTGTATTCCCAGCTACTTGGGACGCCAAGGCAGGAGAATTGCTTGAACTCAGGAGTTGAAGGCTGCAGTGAGCTATGATCACGCCACTGCACGCCAGCCTGGGTGACAGAGCAAGACCTTGTCTCAGAATTAATCAATTAAATTTTAACATAAAATACAAAACGTCTATTATATAACCATTTTAAAAAGTTAAACAATCTCGGCCGGGTGCGGTAGCTCACGTCTGTAATCCCAGCACTTTGGGAGGCCAAGGCAGGCAGATCACGAGGTCAGGAGATCAAGACCATCCTGGTGAACACGGTGAAACCCCGTCTCTACTAAAAAAACACAAAAAATTAGCCAGGCATGGTGGCGGCGCCTGTAGTCCCAGCTACTCGGGAGGCTGAGGCAGCAGAATGGCATGATCCTGGGAAGCGGAGCTTGCAGTGAGCTGGGATCACACCACTGCACTCCAGCCTGGGTGACAGAGCGAGACTCTGTCTCAAAAAAAAAAAAAAAAAAGTTAAACAATCTCTAAAAATGAGGTTGTAATTTTCTATATATATACCTGTAGAAATAAATACATATATATTTCTTATGTGTCTGTGTATATATAAAATATATATTTTATAATAAATATTATATAAACATAATATATGTAATATAAATATATATGTAATACATATGTATTATATTTAATATAAATATATAAAATATATAATATATATTATATATTTAATATATACATTTAAATATATATATTTTTATAATCTATATTATATAAACATAATATATGTAATATAAATATATGTATTACAAATATATATTACACGTATATAAATATATATGTAATATGTATTATATTTAATATAAATATATATAAAATATAAAATATATATTATATATTTAATATATAACATTTAATATGTAACATAAAATATATAATATATATTCAATATATAATACATATGTAATATATTATATAAATATAATAAATATGTAATATAATATATGTATATAATACATAAGTATACAATACATATGTAATATAAGTATATAATACATATGTACATAATATACATATTTTATAGTTAATATATGCATATGTTAAACATATATTTTATATATATTTGTAATATTTACATATAATATACACACAGCAAATACATATTTTTATTATATTTTATATTATGAATATCAAATAGGTATAATATAGTTTGTATTTTGTATTACGTATATATATGCTATGCCAACTGTAATGGGTACCTTCTTTAATCATATTTTTTGGTCCTGTTTTGCAGTTCCATCTGGACTTGGAGCTGCCCTTTCAAAAAGCCACAGTTGCTATGTTCAGTCTGGTGAATGTCACATCTCCAACATCACAGTCTTCAAGGAGACGTTTAGCAGACATTATCTGAGGGCTCCGTGCCGGGTAGACCTTGGTCACCGAGCAGGGATGATGTTCTCTCAGGGAAAGAAGGACCTAAATCCCAGGGGAGTCAGCCACTAAGAACTCAGCATGTGGCCAAGTCGCTCAGACAAATTGTTCTTGTTGAGCCTCTCTCTGGAATCAGTGGATGGTTCCTGGAACTGGAAGGAAAGGGAAGACAGCCAGAAGCTAGGGCGTATGTGTGTGTGGCTGGGCAGGGAAAGGAGAGAGGTGGAGAGAAGGAGGGAAGAAGAAGGAAGAGGAGAGGGGAGCAGGAGGAGATGGAGAGGGGAGGAAGAAAGAGGAGGAGAAGAAGGAGAGGGGAGAAGGAACAGGAGTAAAAAGAGAAGTAGGAGGAGAGGGTAGGAGGAGGAGGAGGAGAGGTGAGGAGGAAAAGATGAGGAGAGGAGGAGGAGGAGGAGAGGGGAGGAGGACAAGGAAGAGAAGGGACAAGGAAGAGAAGGGAAGAGGAAGAGAAGGGAAGAGGAGGAGAGGGGAGGACAAGGAAGAGAAGGGAGAAGGAGGAGGTGAAAGAGGAGAGGAAAGGAGGAGGAGAGGGGAAGAGGGAGGAAGAGGAAGAGGAGGAAGGAGGAAGAGAGAGGGGAGGGGGACAAAAGGAAAGGGAGGAGGAGGAGAGAGGTGAAGAGGAGAGGAAAGGAGGAGGAAGAGAGGGGAAGAGGGAGGAAGAGGGAGGGAGGAGGGAGAGGAAGGAGGAAGAGGAGGGGTAAGGTGAAAGAGGAGAGGAAAGGAGGAGGAGAGGGGAAGAGGAGGAAGAGGAGGAGGAGGAGAGGGAAGGAGGAAGAGGAGGGGGTAGAAGGGAGGGAGGAGGAGGACAAGGACAGACAGTGGGAGGAGGAGAAATAGAAGTAAATGAAGAAGGAGAATAAGAAAAGATGAAAAAGGAGAGGGAGTAGAAGGAAAAGGAGAAGGAGGAAGAGGCGATGAAGGAGTATCAAATGGTACAATTTCTAAAATCCAATCTGAGCAAGGCTAGCCCTTCTCCAAAGGAAATCGCCAAGTAAGCAGTAACAAGTAAAATAAAAGAAAGGACAGTCTTTAGGAGACAATCCTAGTTGGTCAGATTTTTTTTTTAGGAAGCTTAGTTTCTATTGGATACAGTGTCATCTTTATAGCTCACTGATTATGAAAAAGCTTATGGCATAATATGATAATTACCAAACAACAAAATCACTAAACAGTTGTAGACTTTTACTACACAATAAACGACAAAACCAAAAACCAAAAAAAAAAAAAGAGGGGACTATTTAAAACTCAGTTACGTTTCCTCCGAGGCACGGCTTTTACACCAAGTTGGGATCTGAACGGCACCAGCCACAGACTGTTTTGTTACAAGCACTGTGGGCACATTGTTCACTGGGTGGAAGGGAAAAGCTCAGCACCAAATACTTTCTTTGAAGTCTCTGAAAGCTTTCTCAATGATGAGATGAAACTTGCAAAAGCTTTCTCGCTGTGGGGAGACGACGACGACAGCTCCAATGACAGGGCTTCTGCAGCCAGGGCGTTACGGCTCTCTGAAACAAGCAAGAGAGGCGTGCATACATTAATCCAAGGATGTGTCCCAGCCAGTAATTAGCCACCGCTTGCAGTGAAAAGCAGGGAGTCGAACCGCTTGCAGTGAAAAGCAGGGAGTCGAAAGCTTGTCTCACAGAATATACAATTTCCTCATGATGCCCCACAAAAAGCTATCTCCATTCAGACGGTTCCACGTGGTTGCCAATCATAACAAGAACCAAGATCTACAAACAAAAGAAAGGAGAAGAAAGGGCTGAAGAAAGGGAAGGAAGGAAGGAAGGAAGGAAGGAAGGAAGGAAGGGAAGGAAGGAAGGAAGAAAGGAAGGAAGGAAGGAAGGAAGGAAGGAAGGAAGGAAGGAAGGGGGAGGAAGGAAGGAAGGAGACAGGGAAGGAGGGAAGGAGTGAGAGAGGAGGGGAAAGGAAGGAAGGAGAAAGGAAGGAAGGAGAAAGAAAGGAAGGAAGAAGGAAGGAAGAATGACGGAAGGAAGAAGGAAGGAAGAAAGGAAGGGAGGGAGGGAGGAAGGAAGAAAGAAAGAAGAAAGGAAGAAAACAAGGAAGGAAGGGAGGGAGGAAGGGAGGGAGGGAGGAAGGGAGGGAGGAAAGAAGGAAGGAAGGAGGGAGGAAGTCTTTCTTCTTGTGAGTAAATGCCGTATCCCAGATACTCCCTTTGTTGGCCAACTCCATGGTTAGTTTATCTAACAAATTAATGGGAATGAAGTAATCAACATAATTGGTCTTGTCTCCTATGTGATATGCCCATGGTTTAACTATTTGTGTGTGTGTGTGTGTGAGACGGACTCTCACTCTGTCGCCCAGGCTGGAGTGCAGTGGTGTGATCTCAGCTCACTGTAACCTCTGCCTCCTGGGTTCAAGCGATTCCCTTGCCTCAGCCTCCCGAGTAGCTGGGACTACAAGTGCCCGCCACCATGCCTGGCTAATTTTTTTGTATTTTAGTAGAGATGGGGTTTCACTGTGTTAGCCAGGATGGTCTCGATCTCCTGACCTCGTGATCCACCCACCTCGGCCTCCCAAAGTGCTGGGATGACAGGTGTGCGCCAACGCGCCTAGCCAGTTTAACTATTTTAAAAAATAATTTGAAGGCTGCCTCCTGGCAGAATTTCCTCTTGCTCTGTGGACGTCAGATTTTGTTCTTTTCATGTCTTCGACTGATGAGGTGAGGCCCACCCACATTATGGAGAGAGGATCATCTTGACTCAAAGTCACGGATTTAAATATCAACCCCATCCAAAAACACATTCACAGAAACATCCAGAATAATGTTTGCCCACACATCTGGGCACGGTGACCCAGACAAGGAGACACATAAAATTAACCATCACAAATATTATTACTTAAATGAAATGCTTACAAAGAAAAGGTAGAGGAAATATAAAGCAAGGGATTAGAAGTAAACAGGGGGTATATTCATGAAAGCAGCTGGGCAGAGAAGGGGCGGATATAAATGGGAAACAACATCATAGCAAACTCGTGGAAGACAGGGGAGTCTGGCGTGCTTGTGGACCAAGAGTAAGAGCTTGAGAGGTCTATTGAATGTCTTCCTCTCCTGTCAACCTGAAGCCAGTGACTGCTGGGGTTTGAAGGCAGAAATCCCATACGAATACCTAGAAGTCCACTGTTGTGCCAAGTTTTACCTCTGCTTTGGGGACACTGCCTTCAGAATACTCTAACTTGTCCTTACAACCCTGGTTCAAGCATAGATCATTGATCCAAGCTAGTATGAAATATCAATGTGTGTGCACATAGGCATGTGTGTTACCAGGAAACAACCCAGTAGGAATGACAGCACCACAGCCATAACATACATTAAAATGTAGACCTCACAGTGTTATCAGGATCAGCTTTTTTCAAGAGACCATGGGCTTCATTCATTCAAAAAGCACAATTGCATGGTAGACATTACCTTGCCTGCTCATTTATTTCTACATACCTAGCTTCTCACACTGAAGATATGCACACTAAACACTGGTCAAACAAAAATGAGTGGATAAATGACTAACCAATTTGTTTCATCCTCCCTAGAAGACAAGCACTGGTCATTTTACATGGTGCCCAAAACTGACTCTAGTGTGTGCTTTTAAACCCTATTTAATAAGACCAACCAGGCCAGGCACGGTGGCTCACACCTGTCATCCCAGTACTTTGGGAGGCCAGGGCGAGCAGATCACCTGAGGTTGGGAGTACAAGACCCGCCTGACCAACATGGAGAAACCCTGTTTCTACTAAAAATACAAAATCAGCTGGGTGTCGTGGCGCATGCCTGTAGGAGAAACGGCTGAACCCAGGAGGCGGAGGTTGCAGTGAGCTGAGATCGCGTCATTGCACTTAAGCCTGGGCAACAAGAGAAAAACTCCGCCTCCAAAATAAATAAATAAATAAATAAAAATAAGACCAATGAAAAGAGATCTTGTATGAATGGTCCAAAACTAAAGTGTGTATGATTTCATTTTCCAAGTCAAATGGGCCTCAGAGCTTAGCAGAAAGTATCATTATCACCATCATCATCCTCATCACCATCACCATCCTCACCATCATCATCATCCTCACCATCATCATCCTCACCATCATCTCCATTACCTCTCCCATTATCATCACTACCACCATCATTATCATCATCATCACCATCATCATCTCCATTATCACCACCACCACCATCATCGCCATCGTAGCTTCCCTGCACACACCGAGCGGCGCATGCTTAAGCATGTCATTAGGAGACTGGGAGATCACAGCACCAGCTTAGCCAATGAGGTTTCGCAACGAGAGTCTGGTGCCAAATATTATTGCATATTTAAGATTTTTAATCAAGCAGGAGAAATAAAGAACTGGGGAGGGAGGAATAAGTATTGAAAAAAACATCTGCTCTAAGCAATTTCATTTAAAGGAAAAAAGGTAGTGGAGGAATCAAGATGAATATTGACACGATGTTTTTGCTTGTTTTGAGATCGCCGTTCTGCAAGAACAGGCTGAGTGCAATGGCATGATCTTGGTTCACTGCAACCTCCGCCTCCCGGGTTCAAACGCTTCTCCTGCCTCAGCCTCCTGAGTAGCTGGGACTAGAGGCGCCCATTACCACTTCAGCTTAATTTTTGTATTTTTAGTAGAATGGGTTTCACCATTGGCCAGGCTGGTCTCGATCTCCTGACCTCGTGATCTGCCTGCCTCAGCCTCCCAAAGTGCTGGGATGACAGGCGTGAGCCACCATAAGCGGAAAAAGTCACAGGGAAACTCTGGTTTATTTACATTGCGAATAAAAATTTTACACTGGTGAATTGATTAAACGATCAGCAAAAAGACTAAAGACAGACATTTTCTGGAAGCATTTGTGGCGTTGGGTAATAATGTGGTCACGGAGCAGCGTTTAAAGCACCTGCTCTGAAGCAGGTGTATCTTGAGGGATTTTCCCAGGATGGGGTTCAGGGAAGTATGAAGTGGATCCAAACACCATTTGGCTTTAAAAAATCATTAATAGTGAAGAAAATATACAAACAATAGTCAAAGAGTAAAACCAAACCCTCATGGAAATAAAGAAAAAAAATTGTCTCTATTTGAAGATGATATAATTGTCTTGATAGAAACAGCGCCCGTCCCACAAACGGGGCACTAAAACTGTAAGAAAAAAACTTTCTAGAACTAATAAACACAGCTCAATAAGTTCACAGGATACAAGATACATGTATAAAAATCCATTGTATTTCTATACAGATACAATGAACAAGGGGAAACCAAAATACAAAATATAATGTACTGTTATTTTAGGCGCCAGGTGTGGTGGCTCACGCCTGTAATCCCAGCACTTGGGGAAGCCGAGGTGAGTGGATCATCTGAGTTCAGCAGTTTGAGACCAGCCTGGCCAACATGGTGAAACCCGGTCTTCAAGCAGAGAAAATAATAAAAAAATTAGCTGGGCGCAGGTGGCAGGTGCTTGTATTCCCAGCTACTTGGGAGGATAAGGCAGGAGAATCACTTGAACCCAGGAGACGGAGGTTGCAGTGAGAGCCGATCGTCATTGTACTCCAGCCTGGGCTGAGTGAGAGACTCTGTCTCAAAGAAAAAAACAAACTATTTTAAATTGCTCCAAAGAGAATGAGAAATATGAGTGAAATTCCACCAAGCACAGGGGTAGCTCCAAAATAGAGTGGTGTCTGTAAATTCTCAAGAAACAACAAAGATCACTCCATAACAAAGGAAAGGATATAGGTTCATGAGCAGAGTCCACTGGCAAAAAGATGTCCGTCTCCATAAACCAGCACATAATCAGCGATGGTAGGTTCATGCCTGGGAATCCATGGTACCCTGGGAGGCTGAGGCAGGCGGATCAATTGAGGTCAAGAAGAGACTGGCCTGGCTGGCATGGATAACCACGCTCTCTAATAAAATACAGCACAAAATTGGGGGAAGTGTCGTAATTCCAGTTACTTGGGAGGCTGAGGTGAGAAGACCAGTCCAACCTGAGTAGCGAGTTGCAGGACAAGATCAGCTGCCAACCCAGCCTGAAGCAGTAGAGGAGAGCGAGAACTGGCCTCAAGAAAACAAACAAACAATCATATAAAATCCAAGTACATTAAAAATATACCTGAAATTTTTTAAAATATACGAGAAAGTATTATTGTAACATGTATAAAGTAATGGAAAAGTAAAGGCCTAAAACCACATTTTGAGAAAGAACAAGACAAGAGACTTCACACACGTTTTGGGCTGTTATATTGCTGTGATAAATGGAGAGAAGTATACTGAACAAAGATAAGACACACATAAATAAATGGGAAATGCAACAGAGAACCCAGAAGAAACAGGAAATTTTGGGAATTAGGTCCACATCAGTTTTTTTGGACAATGAGCAAAAGTGGAACATGAGAGGAATATCCATTTCACTGAAATTTCTATTGAGCAAGGAGACACAGTGAGCAACGTCAAAAATGAATCGCAACCAACCTGCTAGCTTTGATAAGCAAATTAAACTAAATAAATAAAATCATAG